TAGTATGTACGATGTACATACATATGTAAAGGGCAGACGCTGCAGATAAGCGACTAAAGCTAACGGCGAACCGAGCCGAAACGAACCGTTGCCAAAAACGAAGACTGCATTCAAAGTCCAGTGAGAATGAGAGCAAGAGCAAGAGAGTGGGTGCCTGCAGCTCTCTTGTACCTTTCAGAGAGTAAGAAGGCGATGCAACGGTTAATGCGTGAGCACCGCAGAGGGCGCTGAGCAAAAGCAACTGCGTAAATAGCAACAGCAATTGCCGCCTGCACAAAAAAAATGTTCGATCAAGTATAAATGTACCTGAAAATAGACAGAATTCTAGTTATAAATACAAAGAAAACGCCCTGTAGTGTTTGCCTGCCATAAGCAACCCAATTAAAACATATCCATAAAGCAATACAAAAAATTATTATCTTAAATCTTAAGACATTGTGCCAAAACACAAGAACTGAAGATTTGTAGTCTTGTTTAGTCACTCGCACGTTTCACAATACTCACTGATCGCCAATTGACTTCCACTGACTTCGATTTCTATTCGTGTTCTTGGATAATTTGCAAAAGTGAAAATAGGCCCCAGATCTCAATCTGAGCCTCATTCTCTCTCTGTTTCTCTTTCTCTCTTTAAAGAGCTCTCTCTCTCTGCTCTCCATTGTTATTAGATTTTTGCTGCCTGAGCGAGATTTACATAATCTTAAGTGCTGGCTTGTCTGCCCATCGTACTCCGATTTGCTGGGTTCGGTGAAAGTTGTCTTACAAATTATAAGTTTAGAATGCGCCCAAAAATATGCCCAGTAGCCAACAACAAACAACAAAGCAAGGCGCAAAATGCTGCACTCGGAATCGGTCTTGGGGCTTGTAGTTTTTTTGCTTTTCTTTTGCTTTTTGGCTTTTTTTGCCTTTCACAAATCAACGTCCAAATATGGAGGAGGAGGAGGAGTGCTCTCTATCGCCTCCTCCGTTCGCCCAGCGAGAAATGCTGGATAAATAAATCTGTCAGTGGGGCGTTGCTACTGTGTCAAATAGTTGGACGGTGCCGAACAAAGTATCTATCAGATACAAATGCCACAATACCAAATACCCAATACCCAATTTTATTGTTGCCGAAACGATGTCACGGCTAGAGTTCGATTTCCAGTCTAAAAAAAAGAAATACAATTTATTGCCATTCAAACTCTTTTTTGTTGTCAAATATTTGTGGCGATTTGGGACAGCCGAACTAGTTAATTGGGTTGATTGGCTCTTCAATGGTAGAAGATATCTTCCCTCTAAGCGAATGAATCAATTCGGAGAGAAACTTTAGATTTGGCCGTTTCAAGAATGATTAATTAATGGCAGTTAAATGATTCAATTAACTTAAAACTACTAGAACATACTTTAGTGGTTCTTATTATTTAATTTAATATATTCTCCTTCATTTCTAGTTCCTGTTATTACTTTCACAGCTCTCAGATTTTACAGTCGCGATTTGATTTTTATGATTTCAGAAGTTCCTTTCTTTCTTCTGTATAGAAATTACCGCCTCTTTTTTTATTGCTCCTGTGGTGTTGGATCGCTTCCATCCTCTCATAATTTCAGTCGATTCCTTTTAATATTGATGACTTCTGTTTACTATTTTCCGTACATTTTTAGTTTTTTTTTTATATCTTGTCTGTGGATTTAATTGCTTTCTTTCTCGTTAACAAATCTCCCATCTTTAATACATATTTTTTAATTTAATTTTTTCTTTTTTAAATTCTTTTGAATTAATTTTTTTTTGTATTCTTTTATTGCCTTATTCCCAAATTCTCCACAGAATCTCTTCCGAAAAATCAACGAATATCTTAAGCTAAAAGAATGCTACTAAATCTTTTCCTCAAAAAACCTTTGTCCAAATTTTCTTTTATTTACTTTCGTCTTTGGCATTGTCAAATCTCTGGCTTACAGTTTGGCTTTCATTTTGGTTTAATGAAACTGAAACCTCAGAAAAAAAAACTCTTAATTTCTTTCACTATCTGCGCCATCCATCGAAAGCACGCAAACTGGGTTGATGAAATCGAGAAAACTGAAACTTTTCATTGTGATTAACTAATCGGCGTCATCAGAATCTCAACTTATAGTCTCAACACTTTCGCTCCGACCCTCCGGCGGCTACCGAAATAAATGACTTGATTAATTTCGCCCAGTGTATGGTCATGCCAAAAAAAAACCAACACCTGGAACAAAAAATGAAGTTGTCTGGGCGTAATTGCTTGGCCCCATTATCATAGAGGAGCGGTGAGGTTCGGTTCTCGTCTTGTGGTCTGCGGACACCTGAGTGGCATTTGTGCTCCCACAGCCTGCGCTTTCTTTTGGTGATGTTCTGGTGTGGTTCGGGTTTTGTCTTTGCTTTTGTAATTACAGTAATTTATTTATGAGGCAGCCAACTGGGCTTACACACGTTCTGAATACCCACACACCACACCACACCACCCACACCACACACTTCTGTATGCTTCTCGATGGCATCTGCGTTAGATTTCCCATACCATACAGGCACCTAAAAATTATGGAATTATGTTGGCATGGGGCCCGGCCCCAGATCCAAATCGTTTCTGAAAATCTGTAATTAAGTTTGGCTGAAAATCCCACTGCAATTTCAGGCCCTAGAGCTAGCCAACCTCACTCTCTCTCTATTATTGCCAGTGAAATTTGGCCTGAAGTGCATTTCACTTCACTCCATTTTCAGCTCACTTGCAGTCCGTAATTTTCAGCGTTCTAATCTGCCATTTTTCATGGCCAAGTACACAACGTTTGGCATGCAAATGAGCCTGAACTGAATTTCAATTAAAATCAAACCATGAAAAAGAAGAAGCACCCAACCAAACAGCACAAATAAAAGTCAACTGCAACTGATTTACTGTGTGAAACTGAAATTCTTTTTCTTCTCTGTTTTTCTGTTTTCGGTTTTTTTTTTTTGGGGGGGGTTTTGTGTTTTGTCGTGAAAGTTTCTTTAGCTTAGATCCAACCCATCCACGGCTGTGACTTGACATTCAGATAATGGCTTGATTAAAACTTGTCATGAGAACGAACAGCGGCGAGGAGACTAAATTGTGCAAGGCCAGGCCGGATCACACCGAGTAAGAGAGCTCCAATTAAGCGAAGAAGCCGCTTCAAAGTCATGCCTGGAGTTCCTACACTGATTGTTTTGTTTTATTTTTTGGGGTAGTGCAGCTGGGTGGCTTAACTTGTCAGTGTCAATGGGTAGTTAAGTGGTAAGGCTACTGGGCAATGGGAGTACTACAAACATTCTATGGGAAGTGTGAGTGAAGATTTTATTCAAATAAAAATACGAGCAAGACCATGAGGTGAATGCAGAATTAAAGAAACAATCATAAAGAAATTTTCAAAGTTTTTGTTGACTATATTTACTTGCTACATTTTCACTCCTCACTGCGAAATTCCATGAAAAACTTTGCCAATTTAAATGCTCCATAGAGTATCCCAACTTCAGCTGTGCCCCACACACCCCGAGCAAATATATTGTTGCCTCTTGTATGGCATTTGCATGCTACTAGTGAGTTTTCGCCTGCTAATCACGTTCTTAATGAAAGTGGATGCAGTCCAAAGGAGAGCTGCAAGAGCTTGTTCATGGCATGGACAATGTTGTGGCTGCCTGTTGGTTCTTTGGCTTTGGCTTTGGCTTTGGGTTTTTAGTTGCTGGACAACATTGAATGGTGGGCCAGAAGTCTGCTACGTTCAGACTTGATCTTTCGCTGGCAATGACCGCCATTTGGCTGTGGCTGTGGCTGGGGCTGGGGCTTTGGCTTTATTTGGTTTTCATGTTTGTTTGCTTGTTTTCCCAGCGGTTGGCTGTTTGTTTTTACATGCAACTATCGTCTGGCCTGGCCCGGCCTGGCCTGGCCTGGCCCGAGTGTGAAGTGGTTCTGTCCAGGCGGAGGACCAGTTCTTCTTTCTCTCTATGAGTTCCTCTGATTTTGATTTATATTATTTATGACGTCGGCTTTGGTGTCTCTTTTACTCTACTGGTTGGGTGTCTCTTTTGCTCTTTTGCTCATTTGGTTGTGTGTCTCTTTCACTCTCCTGGTTGGCTGTATCTTTCACTCTCCTGGGTTCTAGTTGCCGTGTATTTATTGATAAGTTTTGGCATCATTTCCGTTCGCAGCACACTTCTTTTTGGCCCATTTCTGTGCGGGGAATTTGTGCCAAGTATTTGTTGCACTACTCCACCGGCAAAATCTCGGGCGGCAGCATGTATATTTGTATGTAAATAAACCCATAAACTTGTGTGAAAATACTCGCATTGTGCAGATCGAGAGATGGAAATTCTCTCTCTCTCTTTCTGTGTCTGTTTTATTTCAAGCTATTTCTGGCGGGAGATTTTTTTTTTTGGAGTGGTTTATATCAAGAGTTTTAGACATTTTTTGCGTTTAAATTATTTGAATAATTAGGCAGTCGGATTGTGTCTGTGCTGACCACCGTTGCTTGAACCAGAAATCTTTCATATGGAAAGTTTTAGTTTTTAAATCTTGATTAATAATTGGGAAAACTCTTCTACAAGCTGTTGGGTTTTTCTTCGAAATAAATCATGAAAAGGGATAAATGGAAGCTAACATATAGGTTTGTTTGAGTTACAAGAAAAGAGTCATTAAAAATAGCAGGGCATTAAATTAAATCTAACAACTTAAAGCTAGATTAATGTGGACTTATGTAACTTTAGCTAAGTATTATTAGAATATTAATTTGTACATAATTGATTGTTTTAAAGATCGGAAGCAGCACTCCTCTCCCACTCTCATTTTCCTTCTTGCTTTTAGTCTCTGTTAATCTGTTTGCAGATCAAAATCTTCTCGCTCAGCGTACATATATTCAAAAATAAAGTTAATTACCCCAACAGGCAACCTGTTGCATAGTTTTTTTGTTTTGTTTTATTATTCAACATTGCCGAGCTAATGACAGTCACTTATCCAACACCCAATTTCTCTCTCTCTCTCTCTCTTCTCACCCTCTCTTTGCAGCTGTCAAACGTACAAAAATAAACATTTGTGCCGCCTCGCATATGGTTCATTAAAAGTGTGGCAGAACTTTGGCACTGCCAACAATAACAAAAAAGGCAAAACCCAAAGCCAACAACGACAACGACCTGTAGAACAATGTTCCAACAATTGTGCGGGTAATTTGCAGCTTGGCTTAATTTTGGTGTACGGCTGAGCATGCGCCCGGCCCGACCCGGCCCCAGTCTATGGTCTATGGTCTATGGTCCCTGGTCGCTTTGTCATTCGAAAGTTGCCTCTGCGTGACACACATTTTACGCATTAGACTTGGAGTTGGACTCCACTCCACTCCGAGCTGCACACAGTCACTGCTACAGCCAGACAAGTTGGAGCTGGACTGAGCTTAGCTGCATCTGCCCTGCCACCACCACTGGAGAGAAAAACAAAAACGAAACAAAGGAGAAGGAGAAGCTTTAGCTATCCATCGCCCAAACCCAAAGTCGGGCTCTCTGTTGCATTATTCATGCTCTTCTTCTTTGAAGCAACGGGAACGAGCGGCACCAGCAACAGCATTCGACCCATGGAAACGAAGATGACGCTGCGCTTAGTCAGCATATTATCGGCGGCACTGCTTTTCCTCTGGCCCGCACAGCTGGATGCATTTATCACACCGAATACAGGTGAGTCGGCAGTAGGCCCAATAGCCGTGTATATACCTATACTTACAATCGACGAATAGCGGGCTAGCGGGCTAGCGGGCTAGCTGGCTGGCTAGCTGTCTGGCTGGCCATAATGTCTGTGAAATGTATGGCAATGGGTAAGATAAGTCCACCATAGACCATCCCAGCATTGGCCTTGGAGTGGCAAAGTAGCGGATAATTTTGAAGATACGCGAGTATTATTGGAGTGGAACGTATGAGTTCCATTAGTACACTTTCAAGGGGGGGCTATAAATGGTTTTGATCAGTCAAAACATATGATTAATATGCAGTGATAGCTTGCAGAATAGTTAAAGGTTTGTTATGGATAGGGCTTTGGCTTCTGCTTTCTGCAATTGAAGTAGAGGACAGAACAGTTGGCGTTTTGCAGGAGGGTGACTATTGCTCCGCTTGCAGACTCCAAAGATAAGCTACAGGAAAAATAGGTAGTAAAACGCGGCTGCTTCGATTTATATAAGTACATATGTACATATGTATGTATGGTGTATTTATTTCGTGTCCGTCTCGTATTTGAAGTCTAGCGTAACTATAGCGCGGCCACGAGAGTCTCCTCATGTAAGTTCAAGCTTACAAGCTAAGGCCACGCGAGAGCCATATGGATCGAGAGAGCGAGCGCGAGTGCAAGCTCGCTCTCAGAGCGCTGTCGTAGAGCGCTAACAGAGCTGTAACCAGCAGCGACTACAGTCTGTTAGCGGAGAGCGGACACAGGATGTTACGCAGGACTGTTAACAGCGCTGTTGCCCTGTTAGCGCTTCAGTACGAAACAGATGCGTATGTAAATCTGCGTACCCTCAGATATAAGAGTATGGGCATCGTTCATAGGGCCTGCATAATCAGCGTTTCCTAGAGTCAGATATAGTACCCATGGCATATGGCACCCAAAGGCATGGAAATGCTCATAAATCAATCTCTGATGCCATGTCACGAACTCCTCACAAATCATCAAAATAAAAGCGTAGCTTAACTTTAAAAATCGAACAACCAAAACTTTGATAGCATACAAAAATAAATAATTTTGTGGCATACATTTAGGTTGCCATCACAATGGCACCTGGTTTGCCGACAAATCGGTGGTGCCCAGCATGGAGAAATGCCTCAGCTGCCAGTGCAATCGCAAGACGCTCGTCTGCCGGCTGAAGGTGTGCCCCGAAATGCCCATGCCGCCGCCCCGGGGCTGTGTGGTGGTCCAAAGGAAGAGCAGCTGCTGTCCATACCTGTCCTGTGCCCGATTGGATGCCTTCTACAAGATACCCACCAAGCGGCGCATCATCGCCTACCTGGACCACTACGAGCGGGAGTCCATTGATCGTGTGGTCAATGACAATATGCTGCAAAGGCGCTCCGATGACTCCGATACGGATTTGTTTGGTGCGTAAACAGAGAGAGTGAAAGGGGAAAGGATATTCTATAAAATTTTTGATCCTTGCAGTTTGCGTTAAGAATGGAACTGTGTACAAGTCCGGCTCTGCCATGTCCTCATCCAACCTGTGCAGCTACTGCTATTGCATAGGTAAGAATATTCATGATTAATAATTTTATTTTAAATATTTATTTAATATTTTTTATATATTTATTTTTATATATTTATTTTATTATTTATTTTAATATTATTTTATATATTTATTTTATTATTTATTTTAATATTTTTTATATATTTATTTTATTATTTATTTTAATATTTTTTATATATTTATTTTAATATTTATTTTAAATATTTATTTAAATATTTTTTATATATTTATTTTAATATTTATTTTAATATTTTTTTATATATTTAATTTGTATTGTACCTCCTCCTCCCTGCAGGTGGCACAGAGAAATGCGTCAAGCCCAAGTGCATGCTGCCGCTGGACGGCTGCAAGCCCATCTTTGTGGACTCGGCCTGCTGTCCCGTGCGCTACGATTGCAGCAGCAAAACCTCCGGCAAATCGTCGCAGGAGGTGCGCTATCGCAAGACCTCCAACAAGCACTTCCAGCGCATGTCGCAGCGCCTGCAGCGGAATCGGGGCTGCACCGTCGGCTCGCAGTTCTATGCGGAGGGGCAGAAGATGCGCTCGGATGCGGACAGGCCGTGCGACATTTGCTTCTGCATACGCGGCACACGACGCTGTGCGCCCAAAAAGTGTTCGCCGGCGCTCAAGAACTGCATACCGGTGGTGCCCAAGGGCCAGTGTTGCCCCTCCAGCTACGACTGCGGCAGCCAGCGGGACTATCGACGCTCGCACAACTCGCGCCAGTTCAATCTCTACAACATGCTCTTTGGCAAGGAGGAGCAGCAGATGGAGGGCGGAGGCGGAGGCGGTGCTGCCACCACAAAACTCCATGGCCGAACGCTATCCGCACGATCGTCATCCGACGCGGGCGCCGCCTGCGGGCGATGCGCTGGCGGCGAGCAGCGAGAAGAGCATCCTGGACACGCTGCGCGAGGGTCTCGAGTTCATCGATGGCAACAACAACCAGATGCTGGCCAATAACCTGGATCTGGTGGGGCTGAGAACGACACCCGTCCCAGCCACGACACGCGAGGAGGCGCCCACGGCGCAGATGAGCAGCACGACGACCACCCTGAGTTTCCTCGATCTGCTGCTGGGTCCCAGCACGGAGTCGGTGCAGGTGCCAGAGTCGACCACCACAGCGAAGAACACGCTCTCCTGGATGGACATACTACTGGGTCCGGATGAGGAGGAGCTGCCACCCATCACCGAATCGTACGCCGAGTCCAGCACTGACTACAGCAGCAGCAGCTCGACGGCGATGAACAGCATCAAACGGATTGCCGACGACTTCGATGAGCAGCTGGACAATGGCGGCATTGCGGTGGGTGAGCTGCCCGCGGAGGCGCAGCACATGGGACTGGCCAATGCGGGCATCTGGCCGCGACCCAGCCAAGAGATTGTGCCAGCGACCAAGGAGGAACCCAGCCTGTTGAATGTCTTTATGGACGGGCTATCGGGCATGCTGGAAGAAACAAATAATGACACCAGCAGCAGCAGCAGTACAACAACAACAACAACAACCACTGTGCGACCTGCGCCCATGTTCCGTCCACTGCCGAGCCACAAGCTGACACACAATCGGATCAACTCCAAGCTGGCGAATCTAACAGTGACACCGCCCATGCTGGTGGTCACCAGCAAATATGGACAGCCAGTGACGCACAGGGTCAGCACAACAACAACAACAACAACAACAAAGCAGCCAGCAACAACAACAACAACAACAAAGAGAGCCACAACAACAGCGACAATTAAAACCACAACAAAGCCAACGGCAACGACAACAGCCAAACCGAAGCACAAAACCACACGAAAGACAGTGACAGCAGCAGCCAAGGCGACAACGGCAGCAGACAGCAGCAGCAGCAGCAGCAGCACAACAGCAGCAGCAGCAGCAACAGAAAGATACACAACAACAACAACAACAGCCAAACCAAAAACAACAACAAGAAGCAGCAGCAACAAATCGAAATCAAAGCCCAAACCGAAGCCCAAGCCATCGCACATTATAACGAGCACATCGACACAGCCTTTGCTGATCAAAACGAATCCCACAATTCTGGAAGCCGAACCACTGGACTCCACCGGGGAGCCCACGCTGCCGCCCAGTCTGCCCAATCTGAAGATTATACCCTTCCTGCCCACGGATGCTGTGGAAACGGTGCCCAAGGAGAGCCTCTACCCGAATAATGGCTACTATCAGCAGCAGCAGCCCTCGCAGCTAGCCACCGATAAAATGGATGTTGTGAGCTACGATACAGCAGACGATACAGTGGCGCTGTATGCCCAGCCCAAGCCCGATCAGGCGGCCTACAAGTACAAGTTCAATGTGGAAGTGCCCGCCGTGGAGCCAGCGCCCGAGCCGGTGGTGCATGTGGGTGGGCAGTATCAGGGCAGTGCGGCATATGTCAAGTTTGATTTCGATGAGCAGGTGCTGGCGCCGGCACACAGCGGCTTCTCGCCACCCACAGAGACGGAGGGTGGCTTCATGCCCAAGGAGCCGCTGGTCATCGATGGCGAAGTGTTGCAGGAGCATGTCACCGCCGCCGACAGCTATCACGCGGTCACGCAGCACATCATCGATATAACCACGGGGGAGGATCATGCCAACGATACTTTATCGATAGGTAAGCAAAATATAAATATAAATAAAAATAAAATATAAATAAATATAAATATAAATTCTGTTTACGCCTCTTTTTTATTCACAGAAATTACCACGCCTGATCCCTTTAAGGATGTGATTCACACAGAACCGCCGCCCAATTTGGATGCACTTAACGAGGATAAAGCGAACAAGCAACCCCTGGAGGAGCACATTGAGACTGTCACCTACAGCATCAGCAACTCAACAGCAGCCTCGGCCAGCTCCACTTTATCCTCTGGCTCTGGCTCCATCAGCGCAGACTCTGGCTCCTTCAGCGCAGACTCTGGCTCCTTCAGCGCAGCATCTGGCTCCTCAGCCCCAGCTCAGCCTCTGCTGCAAGCACAACGGAAAAGCAAATAACGCTCATGGATAAATTCGAAATCAATAAATTAGATAAGCTCTTGGATGAGCTGCTGGGCATGGAACTGCCCAAGGCAGCAGCAGCAGCAGTTGTCAGCACTGTGCCGCCCTTTAAGCAGATGCCAGACAAGAGTTCACAGCCAACAACAGACCCCACAACTCCCCCAACTACACGCCCAACTACACGCCCAACAACAGCCCCAACGACACCCCCAAGAACTCCCACAACAACAAGCAGTTCAACGTCCAGCACAACCGTAAGAGCAACGACAACACGTGGCACAAACAAAAAGGGCAACAGTAAAACGAAAACCAAACAATCGACGGGCAACAGACGTAATCCAGGGCCAAGTAGAACCAAAATTCAAACGGCCACACGTCGAACTTTGGTCAACAAGAGTACGCCAGGAGCAGCAGAGCAGCAGAGCAGCAGCAACACGAGTGCCACCAGCAGCAACAACAGCGAGTGCAGCAACAACAACGAGTGCAGCAACAACAACGAGAGCTGCAGCAGCCACAGAGGAATCCACAATTGTGGCGGCAACCAGCACTATGCATCCATTTCTAAACTCACCATTCGACAAATTACCGTTCATGGACACCAGCTATGAGGTGCGACCGCACAGACAGCAACCGCAGCAGCAGCAACAGCAGCAGCAGGTCGAGCCACCGGAGCAACAATTCCACCATTACCAGCATGCACCAAGCACAACAACAACGCCAACGACAACATCCACAACCGAGGAAGCTGCACGCTCCGCGGAGAGGCAGAGAGACAGGGAGAGGGACAGGGACAGTAGCAGCGATGAGAGCAGCAACAGTGGCAACAGCAGCCCCATGGATCCCCTGGGCAGCATGCTGAAACTGGCGGGCTGCAACATTTATGGCCGCATGTATCGCGTGGGGCGGATTATCGTCGAATTATCCAGCCAGTGTCTGGAGTGCAAGTGCACCGAAGTGGGGGTCAAGTGCGGCCCATTAGACTGTTAATTTACTATGCATCTTAATCTAGAATTTAGTTTAAAAGTTTTAAAGTTTTAAAATGTTGCAAAGTCTTTACGACTTTCCCCTTAAGTGTTTAGCGGTTAAGTTTCAGCCTGTAAGATTTATGCTAATCCATAGCCTGTAACTAATTAAGGGGTAGCATAAGCCTAACTACTAAATTGTATTATAAAAATATATATAAATATAAATTGATTTATCATACATATAAATAATATATAACCAATTAATAATAACTTTTAACCAACAACATGGCATTTATATTAATATATAATTATATACTAGTAATGTAAGTACTTAGCAGTAAATAAATAAATAAATAAATACAGATACAATAAAATTAATAAAATAAAATAAAGTAATTAGTTTTGATATTTTTAGAATTGGGTTGCTATTATGATAAATATCATTTATCATAAATCATTCAAGATTTTGATATGATTTGTCTTTGCTTTAAGGAGACACATTATTTTATTTTAATCATTTATAGCCACAAGGAATTTTTAACCACAAATGACACGATTTTTTACTCTTTTTTATATTTGTCATTTTTTTTTATTATTTGGGAAAGTATTTATTTGAATTTTCATGGAGACTTCAATTCCAGACGCTCTCCGGTTTAGTCATCCTGATCGCGAATATACCAAGGATGTTTCCATTTGCCAACTTTCATCATTTTTTGTATCCATTTTTATAAAAAAAATAAAAATATTGCCAGCATTCTCTACTAGAATAATTAAAATCCTTTGAGAACTGCTAAGGTTAAAAGGAAAAGTAGAGACGTTAAAGCTTAAAGATATTTTTATCATTTTAAGCGCACAGTAAGTATTTTTTTAAATTATTAGCGTGGATGAATATTAATAAATAATAATAAATAAAAATAAACAAAATAAATTAATAAATAAAAATAATAATAATAAAACTCACAAAATATTCTATGGGGAAACTCTTACTTAAAAGCATTTACCTTAGAATATATGCCTAACTAAGTGCCCATTTCCACAGGTAAACTAAATCAAAGTACTTCTATAGTATTTATATTATATAATATTACATTAATTTATTAATTCAATTTTTATCTCCTTATGAAATGACCTTGAACGGTTATTCAATCAATTTTCACTTTCATTGAAATACAGATATTACATACACACATACATATGTATGTACTATATATTGTGCCCAGGAATTTGTAAATAATAAATATTCATTAAATGTTTAATTTTGTGCATAAATTGTACCAAATTAATAATTACATAAATTCCCATCGATGTCAACAAGTTCGCCACAACAAATGCTCGAGTTTTAAAAATGCCAAACAAAAGGCATTGTAAAATTTCAATCACACAAACATATAAAATACATAAAGAACATTCCGGCAAACAATTAGCCAGACGACCACTTTGATGAGCAATAAATTAATTGCAGCTAAAAGCCATTCAGCTAACAATTTGTAAGCCAATTAGTTGTGTGTGCGCCATTGAGTGTACATCAGGGTAGGTGTAAAATAAATATTTATTTATGACACCAAAAGAACAAAACAAAAGAGTGTTCTTTAAACAAAACAAACAAGTGGAGACAGCCCCAAAAGCCCACAGAGTACAATAATTATTTATGGAATTTCAATTCCGGTCGGCTTGCCTAGAATAATAATGACAGAAAACACAGATATACAGACAGCCAGACAGAGGGACAGACAGACAGAGAGACTACAACTAATTGAGCCTACAAATAAATTGATTTTTGATTGGACATTTTCTGAACACGTCTATACATGATAAAGCCGCACAACAAGCCGGCCACTCCTCCGCCCAAATGTGCCTCCAAGCTGATGCGCGGATTGCGATTGTGATGCTGGCGAAAGTGAAACGTGGTGAAGCCCACATCGCTGAGGCACAAGATCAGCAGCGCGGCAATGCGGGCAAAGCGATGCGACAAATGCGAAAAGTTCTAGGCAAACAAAAAATCAGATTAGAAAAGATCAGATCAGTTCAAAGTTAATTGGCATTTTCCAGTTGACTGACCAGCACCAGGTGCGGCACATGACTGAGGAGCATGGCATAGACGCCGGCGGATGCACCCAAAAGCAGCAGATGCGGCTGCAGCCAGGCATTGGCCAGGGCACCGGCCAGGCCGCCCGCCAAATAGACCACAGCCAGACGGCCGTGACCCTGCTCCAGTTCGAGGCACACGCCAATGAGGCACTGCAAAAGGGTCAGTCGTAGAGCTGCAGTGGCAAATGCTCGCCCAAATGCACTCACCTGCAGACAAATGTTGAGCGTCAAGTGCCAGGCATCGGCATGCAGCAGCATGTAGGTGATGAGGCGCCAGTACTCGTGGCTCCATTCCGGCTTGTAGATCAGTCTTCTTTGCATGCACTCATTGGCAATCAGATGCAGCGATATCTGCACGAATGGGGGAAGGGGGAAGAGCCGAAAGAGATTAAGTGACATTAATTACACTGCGCAGCAAAAGCAAAAAGAGAGCCAGAAGAGAGAGATCTAATGGATTGGGATAGCAAACAAAGGTAATTAAAGCACTGGGAGAGTGAAATGTGACTTGAGACTGGCTGTTATATAATATTCTAGACTGCAATTTCCTTTGCTTTGATTATACAGAATTTCATTTTAGTTTTTAGAGGGAGTAAACTTAAAATTAAGGGGGAAAAAACCCAAAAAAAAAAAATGATTTATTCCAACTGCAATCTTTGCCGCCAATTTCCCCGAGGAAAAACCCACTTTAGATTTCCATTTTCTTGTATTTATATCTCGTGGAAGCCTCAACTTTGTAGATCAGTGTCATGGCTGGCGGCAAACGCTGTCACTTTCGCTCCAGCAGCCAAGTGTCGCGATTGCCAGGCGAAAGGCGAGTGTTAAGATGCCGCACAATGAGCACGCCGCATGACTTGACAGCGGCCGACACCAAATCGGTGCAACACATGCAGCACGCCAAATATGACAAATGCCAGTGTTGCAGTTTCAGTTGCAGTTGCAAAACATTCGATCGATGACTAAAAAGGCAATATAGCATTCGATCGGGCCAGCCAAAGCCAAAGTGCTTTGTGCCTCAGCGATTGTGCAACGTTGCAGATGGAGTTGTGTGTTTGTGGGTTGGGCCTGTGGGCCTGTGCCCAACAATGAAACCTTAGCCGCAATCAGCAGCAGAGATTGCTGCATTACTGCGCGTATTTCGAGTATGCCTGCCAGGAGCTAACATGGCTGAGCTATCAATTAATGAGTGTGTCGCCAAATGGGTCACACTTGTGGGACTTTGGGTGTGGGAACGGTATTGGCCAAGAGCCAGTCATGAGTTATTTGATGCAAGCAGCGGAAGGGCACATCTCTGGCATAGGGTGCAGAATATTATTTATTTTATTTTTATTTATTTTTTTAAGTTATTTTTATTATTTTTATTTATTTTAATTATTTTTATTTATTTTATTTATTTTTATTATGTTATTTATTTTTATTTATTTATTTTATTTATTTTTATTTATTTCATTTATGTTATTTATTTTTATTTTATTTATTTTAATTTTTTTTATTTTATTTATTTTTATTTATTTTATTTTATTTATTTTTATTTATTTTATTTATTTTTATATATTTATTATTTTATTTATTTCATTTTATTTATTTTTAATTAATTTTTAACTTTTAATATTACTCTTACTCGCTCTTAAGTTCTTTAGACTCGCATAAAAACTGCCATAAATTAAGAATTAAATCACTTATTTGCTTGCCATAAAATAAACCAAAAATTTTCCGCCTAACAAACCACAAATCAACCAAACAAAATACACTTCAATTCATAGATAAAACCACTGAACAATTTTCCAGAGAATTTTCATTCTCTGAAAGGAATTTGCCATACAAATAAATTATGGAATACTCACACACACAATGCCGCACCAAACAGAAACAAAAACAAACAATTTTGGTTTGTTTAGATTAAATTGAATAAGCGGCGGGTATACAATATATGAGTATGAAGATTATAAACAGAGATATTCATAGTATTATTTAGCACAGAGTTCACATGGAACTGCGCTTATCAGCAGTAAATATTCGGGTACAATAATGGGCCAAATTATTGAGACAAATGTTGAAAATTAAAAAACATTCATGGCAGAAATTTAAATGTAAATTTAATTGGGCAGCGACACCAAAAAACTGTCACTCTGCAGGAGCGAATATCTGCGCTCAATCAGTGTATGCAAACCAAAGGGGAAAAAAATGGATTTTATGAATTAAAAAATCCAATCAAAAGCGAAATCACACACACACACACATCACTCATACGGCACGTTGTACGCCGCTCAAATAAAAAAAAAATGGTGATAAAGTAGAGCAGCAAGCAGCTGCATTGAATCGAACCTGCATAAAGCACATCAGCAATATAAACCAGGGCACACGCCAAACGCGCTGTCTTTTCAGCCGGGCTATATCGTCGTCCCCCGCCTTTGTCAGGTCATCAATGAAAATCTTCTGCAGTGGCGGGAGGTTCGTCATCGGTGGATTGGTATCCGCTTTATCCGTTGCTGGCAGCAGCAGCAGCCTGACATCCTTGTTACTCTGTTCAACGCTATTGTTATTATTCCGTGGCTCTGACATAATTCGAGTGCCGTGGCGGCATTTGACAACCGATGCGCTGAACGCTTAACGTGCGACTAGGCACAGAGATCCGCACACCTCAAAGCTACTGACTACATGCGAAGTGAACGAAGGTGTTTCTGTTCTTCCATGCCTGCTCAATGGGCGGCATTCGAAAATCAATGCGATCCGATCAGATACGATTGATCCAACGAACGTCTGACGGACTGCCATCACCCGCGACTCGGCGACTGAGTGCGCAAACTTTCAAATGGTGCAGCAAAAAGCGAGGCATACTTTTGGCAAGTGAGGACAAATTTTCCAATGTGCGGTTGGTGTCTTGGGTAAGTAGCGCGGGAAATATTTTCCGTAACTTCCGTAACCACTTGTATCCATATAAATATAGTATTCATAGTATAAATGGATACATATAAATTTTAATTTTTAATTTTTTTTTTATATTATATTTATTGTTTTACTATTCTTATTTTATTATTTTTATTTTATATTTTTAGAATAAGTTAAATTCCAAACTTCAATCTATAGTTAAAGCCAGATGGACAAGGCCTTCAGGCTGCCATTTAATATTTATTTTCTACTCTTGCTGATGGTTGTACCTGATGGAATTCTCTCTAAGCTTCTACAGAGCATCAATTCTGATACAGTTTTGCCCTGGACGCTGGTGGATATTGATGTTTCTTACACCAAACATTTCTGTTTCTGACTTTCGTATCCAGGAAGAGCAGCAATTGTTTGTCTTTAGTCATCAACATGCAGCCCTTTTGCTCCTTTGATTTTTAGCATGGGAAGTCGCTTGCGAAACGGTTGTAATGGCATTGAAGATCCTCAATACGAGTATGATATATTATTTATTATTTTTATTTATATTTTCTTATTATTTATTTTATTTATTTTTTTTTTTATTTATATTATAGAGCCCTGCATGAACGAAATAAACAACAAACTATCCCATCTCTCTCAACTGAAACCTGTGATATTATGTATATTATATATATATTCATTATATTATATTTCATTATATATTATTATATTATATTTCATTATATATTATTATATTATATTATATATATATTATTATATTATAATATATTATTATATTATATTTTATTATATATTATTATATTATATATTATTTTATATTATGAATAAACGAATATTAAATAAACTCTACAGTTTACTCATCTGTATCTATTTTGGTATTGACAATTTACCCTTTCCATCCCCGAGTAGAACCTTCACATTTATGGACATATCACGTGGGATGGTACAGCATGTCTTTTTGGCGAACAACTGTCTTTGGAACTGTCGAACACCAGGCAACTGTCAAATTCCTCCAAGCAGACTGATTTTTAATCCCTCCCTGACCGTCTGGACAAAAGGGCCACAAAAGTGTCCGCGCAGTAGAAATTTCACTATATTTATTGCTAGCTTCCGTTTTCCGTGGCCAAAAAAGCAGAAGACCAAACCTGCATTTAGCCCTTTAAAACTTCAACCGATTCGCTGCTCGCCATGGCACTGGCTCTGCCCACATCCTTGGCATTTGACATTTGCCTTGCCTTGCGTTGCCTTGCCCAAGCGTGGCATGAAGTGAGCGATGCGTTAAGGCAGCAGCAGCAGCAGTAGAGTAGCTAGCAACAGCGGCACGAACGGAAGCTGCAAGCACGCGCCCGCCCGCCCAATGTTTACACAAAGTTGTCGACACTCAACGCTGAGGTGGGTGGTGGGTGGCAGTGTGGTGAAAAGCTCCCAAGACGATTACTCTCTTTCACTCTTTGTTTCCCTCTCACTCTCTCTCTCTGTCTCTCTTGTCGAGCCGTGGTGGACACGTGGTGGGGCCATGCTGCCGCTGTGGCTGCTGTCAACACCGAATGCTGGTTATGAATGGCTTTTAATGAAATATTTATGTAACAAGCAATAAGAAGCACTTTTGGCTTCCAAACGAAAGCAAAGGAGAGAGCAAGAGGAGCTGCTGCTGCGGTGGGCGAGTGAACAAAAGCGATAGAAATAATTGTTTGGCTAGTTAAGTTTTGACGCAACGTTGGGCTAAGATAACGCCAACTTACATGCTACAAGTACATACCATACATACATACATACATACATACATACATACATACATACATATGTACATATGTATGTGTGTTTGTTTATCATAAACTTTGCTCAATGGTTGAGTTGCCAAAAGTCATTAACAGTCCGTTTGTACGTGCCGTGCCCCCGTGCCGTGCCCCCGTGCCGTCCCGTGCAGAGGCAGCCAAAACAACAAATTGACATATAAGAGAGTGGCCAAAGGAGCCCAAAAGGAGAGTTGGTTAAGCCCAAAGCCAGACGCAAAACTTATCTTGGCTGGGATGGATACTCGTACTCGATTGTCTGTGCGGCTTTATTTACTTGCCGCTGGCATGCACGTATAAAGTGGAGGAGTTATCGCCAATTCGAACTATTTAAAGCTCTTTGGGGGCGGCTTTCAGGGTAAGCTATAGCTTTGAAGATTTCAAATAAAGGAATCATGGCCTTATTTCTAAAATAAAAAATAAACATGTTATTAATAGGAAAATAAATGAAATTACAAATAAATTATACAAAATAAGTATATAAAATATAAAAAAAAAAAATATATATATATACAAATATAATAAAATACAAAAAAATAAAATATAAAAATATAAAATATAAATAAAATCAAAATATTCCAATTAAAATTCAAAGATTATATTTAAGGCAACAAGTACCCTTAAAAAATGTTAAGTGTTAAAAACAAATGTTTGTTAATTATAAAATTAAAATAATTCTGTGACTAAAGTCTGGAAGATAAGTAAATCTTGTATACAAATAAATAAATAAAATAAAAAAAATTTAAAACATTCCAATTAAAATTTAACAATTATATTTAAGGCAACAAGTACGCTTAAAACAGGTTTAGTATTAAAAATCAATGTTTTGTTAATTATAAGATTAAAAAAATTTTGTGACTAAAGCGTGGAAGAAAAGTCAAACTCGTAGCACTGAAATAAAGACCAATAAAATAAATAAATAAATTCTCATATTTTATATGTATGTAGGTCTCAATACTCGGTCATGGCCAAGAAATTATACATTTATCCATTGGGCACCCAAAAAGAGACCAAATATTCTGATTTACTCGAACTACGCTCAGAGGAAATGCTAAAATTCGTATACAGACTAAAACTAAACGAAAGAAATCACTCACAAACTTCCACATATGAAAGTAACCTCTATTATGACAGGCCTCGGAAGTATTTAATATGCCAAGTGCCAGAACAACCTCAACACTCCACCCAAAGGCCCCAGGGAGCTTGTAGATAGCACAGTCTTTTGGCCAGAACAGGACCAAGATGTTCCACTTTAACAGCCCAGTAGCCCGAGTCCTTCCCCGAGTCCACCAACAAACGGTAGAAGCAGCCAAAAAAAAAAAAAGAGAAAAACGTTTAGGCAAATCTTTGCGCCAAAATCTTGAGCAAACAAGCTCATTACATGCCAGAGAAAAGCCAGAGGAAAAAATAAATAAAAATAAGGAAAGAGAAGAAAAATTGTAAGCAAAGGCAAAGGCAAAGCAAAGCAAAGTGTGCCGTGCCACATGATTGAGTGACTTACAGCCGGAGACGGACGAAGAGGCGTGGCCAGAGCAGAGCCCCAAAGGAAGCGGCAGTCTGAGGACCATTACGGTTACACTTTATGACCGCAATTTTATTGATACCGCCAAAGGCAGCACAAAATACAAAATAAAATAAAAATAAAAAACGAAGCGCCAACAAGGGACAACCAAGGGAAACTCAAGGATTTTTGCGTGGCTATAAAGCGCATTGGGCAACATTTTTTGTTGTAGGATTTGCTGCATCACTGGGCGTACCCAAAGGCAATAACAATCACTACTGAGCACTACAATAAACTAATCTAATGTGCGTATGAAATTTACATGGAGCTACGTTTTAAAAGACTTTCCAGCTAAAGCCAAACCAAATGATAGGCCGCCGTGCGGATAATACTAGTCGAGTCGAGTCGAGGCGAGTCGAGGCGAGTCGAGCAAGGCCAAGTTCCCAACGCCATCGTCGTCATCCTCTCTCCAAAGGCAAATATTAACAAGCTTGGTTTCATTTGGGTTTTTAGGGGAGTTAGAGATGGTTTCGTGACCATAGAATACAGAAAATATGCAACACAATGAAATCGATTGTTTCTTTGATTTGTTTGCGGCTACATGAGACTGAAATTGCAGTTATGGTATTATTATATATATTATATTATATTATATTATTAAATTATTATTATATTATTTATATCAAACGCATGCACGCTAGCCATTAAAAATGTCTTCCAGACAGCAATATTCCTTGTTATTTTGTTCTTAAATTATAATTACGCACATTTATTTGTGTAATAATATTTAAAAGCAGAAACGGTTTAATATAATTTTAATTTTAATTTTTTAAATAAAAATCAAAAATAAATTTATACCTGATTTTTATAATAAAAATCAAAAATTATTTCTTATATCATAATTTTTATTATAAAAACTATAACTCTTACGGTCTTTGATATAATGTAAGCTAAGGCAACAGTAAACATATCTTTTATAATCAAGGAAGACTGTGCCAGACATTTCTCAATCTAGTGGGGGCATGGGAATACAGTTCATTACATTTCATAAACAAATTCTCTTTAGTACAGAGAACATCAAATTTTGTAGAAACAAATACAATTTTTTTTTGGAGCAAACATGAGCAGGTGAGATTTTAGTAGATTTACTGTTTGTATTTGATTTAACAGCATTAATCAACACCATCAGCCCCATTGAAGCGGGAGAGCTGGTCAGCGAACTGCTCAGGAGCCAGAAGGAGCCAGTTTCCATTGAGGAAATCCTTTTTCTCATCCAAGAAACACTGAACATATCGCTGGATCAGGAGCAGTTAGACGCAGTCTGTGAAGCCTTATTACTAGGCTTGACAATGGGGTTTTTTGACTATGATGGAGACAAATTTACATACAGAAATGGAGCGGATTTGATTTAATTTGGGGTTGAGATTGCCGTCACTTGTTCATCACTAGAATGTATGTATGAGATTCACACGGGTCCGTGGTCTTTGGGCGTGCACAGGCATAAATACATACATATAAGATTCAAAATATGTTTGCCTTCGCCGCTCGCTCTCCATTAACACTGCACTCGCTCTCCATCTACACTCCACTCTCTCTCCATCTACACTCCACTGTCTCTCCACCTACACTCTCACTCTCCACCTACACTCCACTCTATCTCTCTCTGTATGTTCTGCCTCTCTTTCTACACAGCTCATATGCGGGTGTGGGTGCGTGAGCTGCTGCTTGGTGCGTGCCGTCGCTGCCATGCAAACTTAATTATTAACTAGAGGAAACCAAAAGGCAACTGGCAACACCTTTAACTTCAGCTGGTTGTACATTGTTACTAGGGTATATTTAATTCGTGTAAAGTGTGTAAAGGGTATCAAATATAGATTATCCGACTTATATGGCTGATAGATATTCCGCATATGCTTAAGCAGATCAAGTTTCGAACCGTTTAACTTTAAATTTCCATATCTAAATATTTATAAACGCAAATTAAATTTAAAAAAATAAGCAATTCGAATCTAGCAGCTAAGTCGTTGAAAATTCTCCTAATTGTATAAATATTTAACCCAAAATAAATTCATTAACTACGCATTTAGTTAATTGTGTTGCTTCGCTGCCTCCTACAGGGTATCTAACAGTCGAAATGTCTGCCATCGTCGCGACGTTCACGTTGCTTGTTATAGTTGTAACTGTTGTTAGTAGGCCGCAGCAGCACATTTCCCACACCTTCCCATAGCTTCGGTGCTCAACTCAGGGGAAATTTGCATTTTATCATCTCCGGGGTGGGGGTGTCCTCTGCCACCCCTCTCTACGTAGAGTCCCCAGTTGGCTCTTTCAGCGCCCAAGCAAAGGGCTTTGCTTTTAATTGGTTTTCTTAGGCGAGAAACGTCTTAGCTGTGTAGTTGGCAGGATCTTGCTGGAATCTTGTTTGGCACTGTTGTTGTCTTACTTGTTAATTTAGTGTTCGGGCGGCACTAACTTATAATTGTTTAATTAGCAAGTAAAATGCGGTGAAAATATGTGGAAATTATTAGATTTGCAAGTTCCGTAAAACGGGAGAGCAGCAACAAAATGGATAAACTTGTAGGTGGTATGTACATACATACATACATACATATGTACTTATGTACATTGTACATGTTCGAAGTATGTAGTTTGGGAAGCAACAAAACCAATTACAATTTCGAATAAGTAATATGGAAAATGCAAGGCTCTGGGAATACTTAATTAAGATTCAGAACTAAGCACACCACAAATGTTTCAAGCTGATAAATATCTCTATTCCATTTAGGGCTATGCCACTATTATGGATAATTAATATGGGATAATTAAGATGATAAATTGTATTTTTACGCAGCCAAATATTAGCCTGTAATCCATAGAGCAGAGCACAGTCAGTCAGTGGCGCAGCAGCAGAGTCAATTCCAATTGTCTGTTTGTCATTTTGTGCTGCCTGCCTACTCTAATCCCACATTGTAAGCTACATACGAGTATACCATGTATGTGTGTTTGTAAAGCTCCCGCACGCCAGCAGCTTATGCAGCCGCTCTCTCGCGCCTTTCTATCTTTCGTTTTCGCCTTCGCTATCGCTCTGGCAATCTGTTGCTCTCTCGATCTGTTGCTCTCTCGCTTGCATGCAAAAGTCTAGAATCTGCATGCTAGATCTTGCACTGCGTCACCACATCGAACAGTTAATAAATAAGACACCGTCTTGAAACGAACTAAACTAACTGAAACTAACTTGTGGTGCGTTCAACGCAATATCGCATATCGAACAATTGAATATTGAGTATTGAACAATCTTCGAGCTATTAACTGTAATAAATACATACATAGGTCGCAAACAAACGCCACTGAAGAAGTTCAGTAGCTCCCAACATACTCCGCATTTCGTCTCATCAAAATACTTTTCAGGACACAGCAAAGATGTTGCTCATACAATTATTTTTGCAGTGTAAAAAAGCCAATAAAATTATCAATCAATAAATTACAAATACAAAGCAAAAGTACACTAAAAGCATTCCACTAAATAGAATAGATTGCTCAGATTTTTTAAACAAGAAAAGAAGCCAAAACAAAAATATGTAAATTATAAACATATCGAAGGCATAATCTATTTTAATTTACAAATGAAATCAACCGTTCATAAGCCTTTCAATAAATTATACCATGTAAAAGTTAGTCATTTTCCTGCACAACTATTTCTCACAGTGCGTGGAAAAGTACGTACACATTTAATAAGCTAAAAGCATTTTAGGCGCCACTCGGAAGATATTTATCTTAAACATATGCGCATTATCCATACCGTTTTCATTATCCAAACAATTGAGTGAGTACATAAGGTAAATATTAAACCCTTTTGGGTGCCCAACCAACAGCGACAGACAACTTCAGTACAAATAGTGAACTGAAAGGGAAACGTTGGAAACACACACAGAAAGCCGAGCATAGAGAAACTGAAAATGATCAAAATTATGAATTGGTTTTCCATGGTAAGCTGCATACATAAATTTCTCTTAAATTTGAGTTGAGTTATTCGAAAAACTCTTGTATTTGATAGGCGATTGGACTGATTCCACTGAATCGCCAGCAATCGCAATCGAATGTAATATTCGACTATGCCATGATGTCGATTGTGCCCGTCTTCTATCTGGGCTGCTATTTTCTCATCAATCTGAGGCATGTGTTTGGTCTCTGTTTCCTGGACGCGTGCAACAGCGTCTGCCGCTTGAGCAACAATCTTTTCATGCATCTGGGTGCCTTTCTCTATCTGACTGTCACCCTGATGAGCCTGTATCGACGCAAGGAATTCTTTTTGCAGTTCGACGAGCGACTGAACGCCATTGATGCCGTCATCCAGAAGTGTCGACGCGTTGCAGAGATGGACAGGGTAAAGGTCACAGCGGTGAAGCACAGTGTGGCATACCACTTCACCTGGCTGTTCCTCTTCTGTGTGTTTGCATTCGCCCTGTACTACGATATCAGGGCACTATATCTGTGAGTATACAAATTGCTTTTTGCTCTGTCCGGGAGTGTGGCAAAATATTGAGTGAAATGGAAGTGGAACTCTGTTGCATCTGAGACTTTAATGCTGAAGGAAGGGATAGAATGCCAGATGACAGATAGTATGCTTTAAAGTTTAAAGTTTAATACCAGTTTATGTTGAAGAATTTATTCTAGCGCAGGCACAAACAGAGACACAATTTTGAGACCTCTTTTTAGGTCTCTTTTTAAATGTTTATTGTACTCGCTTTGGTCTGCTTTAAACACACAAAAGTATCAAACACATTAAATAACCATAAAATCCAAGTAATTACTTTAAGTCTTTGCCATTGAAATTTTACAGCACACTTAACAGAACCGGAACTGTCACTGTCACCTCACCTTTCCTTTACTTTCTACCCTTATCCTACGCTACTTTCAGCACTTTTGGTAACTACGCTTTCATACCGTTTATGGTGTCAAGTTTCCCGTATTTGGCCGGCAGTATCATCCAGGGGGAGTTCATCTATCATGTGTCCGTCATTTCGCAACGCTTTGAGCAGATTAACACATTGTTCGAGAAAATTAACCAGGAGGCCCGCCATCGTCATGCCCCACTCACCGTGTTTGATATTGAGAGCGAGGGCAAGAAGCAGGAGCGTAAGAACCTAACGCCAGCCACGGCCATGGACTCGAGAGGCGCCGCCGCCGCCGCCGCCACATTTGGCAATGAGCAAAAGTTGTCAAGCGAAATGAAACGTCAAATGGCTGCGCCACCGCCACCGCCGCCGCCGGGCCAACAAAAGAATGAAGAGGATGAAATGGATAGCAGCAATGATGAGGACGAGGACGATTTTGATTATGACAATGCGACCATTGCTGAGAATACAGGGTGAGACGATTAACTGCTTAAAAACCAAGGGGTCTACGAGTTTTATTAATGATTTGGCAGATTTATAGTTTAAAATGTGAAGCGAATATGGATAGATTATGTTTCTAACTGAGCTTAAATTAATATGTACTTAAAGAGTTAATCTCCTATCATTAATTATACTTATACTTACTTAAAAATAAATTTATATCACTCATTCTGTTCAGGGCAACAGCGCTGTTAGCAAGCCAGTGTTAGCAGTCTGTTGCCGGGAACACGCTAACAGCGGACTGTTAGCTCGCTCTCGCTCTTGTTGCCCTTCGCTTGTGCGCTGCTCGCTCGCGATCCAATCGGCTCTCCAGCACTGACGCAAGAGATTCCACTGGATACAGTGGATTCCACGGGAATAGTATATACAAAAAAGAATCCACACTCTTCCAATCAAATTATATTAATTCTATACTATTCTATATCAACCTTTCTATTCATTGGTAATATTCGACATTCACTAACCTACTTATCCATATTCTACCTGCCTTTCAGCAACACATCGGAGGCCAATCTGCCGGATTTGTTCAAGCTGCACGACAAAATTCTATCGCTCAGTGTCATAACCAACGGCGAATTCGGACCCCAGTGTGTGCCCTATATGGCTGCCTGCTTCGTGGTCAGCATTTTTGGCATCTTCCTGGAGACCAAAGTCAATTTCATTGTGAGCGGCAAGAGCCGACTGCTCGACTATGTGACATACTTGTATGTCATCTGGAGCTTCACGACCATGGTGGTGGCCTACATTGTGCTGCGGCTGTGCTGCAATGCCAACAATCACTCCAAGCAATCGGCCATGATTGTGCACGAGATAATGCAAAAGAAGCCGGCCTTTATGCTCAGCAACGATCTATTCTACAACAAGATGAAATCGTTCACCCTGCAGTTCCTGCACTGGGAAGGCTACTTTCAGTTTAATGGCATTGGTCTGTTTGCCCTGGACTACACATTTATTTTTTCGGTATGTTTTTTTGTTTTGTTTCTTGTGGTCTAACCTTTTGCAACCTTTATTCAATAAACTCTCTACTTGCAGACCGTGAGTGCCGCCACATCCTATTTAATTGTCCTGCTGCAGTTCGATATGACGGCCATTTTGCGCAACGAGGGCCTCATGTCATAAGCGATGGGTCCCCGTAAATTCAATTATCGAGCAGCAATTTTGAACACCATTTACTTACTAGCACAATTTTGTAGCTTTTCTTTTTTTGTTAAAACAATCTATGAAGGAAAGGAAAGTGGAAAGTAGCAGATGGAATGCTCTTTAAAAAGCGAAAAAAAAATGTAAAACTTATTTGCACCTTTTAAAATTTTGTATAAAATATGTACATTTCAAATGCTTCAATTAAAAATACAAATTTAATGTTTAATTAATTAATTAGTGGAAACTTTTTTTGTGTGGTTTAATTTAATTATTGCCATTATTTGTTCTCCCACAAATCCACACTCAAAGTAGTTTTATGATTATTTTACCAGCTGAATTGTGCGCATTTTTATTCCATTTAGAACACATTGCTGGACCTTGACGTTTCAAATTATATTCCACACAAACTGCTGCCATTTTCGAGGCATACCCATGCCAGAACAGCTTTCAAGAGTACCGGTGTCCACAGGCATTGAGTTGGAAATGGGGGGAAATCGAAGGGACACGAACATACAGACAGACAGGCAGTCGTGGAAAGGACCCCCCGTTATCGCATCATCCAACACTTTGGGTTCATCATGAAGGGATGTCATCGCAAGGGGAGCTGTCCTGGTCGAGGAGGTTTAGTAACACAATTTCAAGCAAATGTCAATTGAAAAACACGATTTGCCAGTCATCAGTCAGGCAGTCTCTGGAGAGCCATACGACGACAGTTTGCGGCCATCAAACGGAAGCCAGAAATGGGTGTAGAAAGGCCCAGGCAGTGGCTGGGGTGAGGCAGTGCAAAGAGGAACACGAAGCAATTTCCGCTTTCAATCACGTTTAGTGCAACGGAAATGTGCGCAGAAATATGTTTCTCCTTTTGCTCCTCTTTCCATTTTTGTCCTATGAACATTTTCGTGCTGGAGTGAGGTTTGGGTTTAAAATTGCATTTCGGTTTGGTTCAATCAATTTACTTGACACAAAAGGAACCCGAAGGAAAATGAATCGGATGCCCCGGAGGGCATGGAGATTAAATTAATTTCATCGAAAGAGTGTCAAATTTAATTGAGTTTTTACTGGGCCACTTCTAACCATTTTCCTCTGTCTGTCTGTCCCTCGTTTTTTTCTATATGTTTTAGTCTTTTTGTGTGTGCTAGACAAAGTGAGTGTCTTATATTACACTTCATTGATGCATGGTTTGAATGACAAGCAGACATTCTGCAACCATAAATCAATATGTGACTCGATTGGCTCGTTTGTACAGGCAACACACTGAGACAAAAAGTTTATTTTTAAAATACAATTTCTACTAGAGAACACAGTCCGTTAAGAGAGTGCTTTAAAGATTTAATACTCTCTCTCTATGCCTTGTAATTTCCAATTGATTTAAACAAAATGACTTTGCTAAGGATTCAAATTCCTCTGGTTTATTTTTAATATTTAAAATGTATTATTACTCTTTTTTCCTGCTTCCAGAGATCTTTTAATGATTTTAAACGTATAACTTTGTGACGAAATAAAAGGGGAATACGGAAAAAAATGGGCCATAAATATTAAAATAAAAACAAATACCAAAAAATTATCATGAATAAATATAAAAATAAAAACAATTAACAAAAAATTATTAAGAGTTGTTTTGTCTGCAAAAAATCCTTAAATAATTCCAAAAAGTCTCGAGAAACCCGCAAGTTAAATTAAAAATTTTATCGCTTCAATTTTTATACGTACAGAATATATTTTTGGTCAGTGCAGACAGACTCGTACTCGTAAGGGAGAAAGAACAACAAAAAAATGGTGACACAGAGCAAGGGGAGAGAGCAAGGGAGAGAGCAAGGGGAGAGAGCAAGGGGGGAGAGTTAGAAATGGAGTAGTGTTTCCTTTCTGGTCAATTTCTGTGGCGGAGCAAAAAACAGAAGCAACAGGCCACACATATTACCTGCAAATTACGTCAACTGTTGCTGTGTATCCAACTCTGCCAGCGATGGGTATGGCGAGAGCAATAGGGAGAGCTTCATACCGAGAAACAGAGAGTTTCGTTTCGAATAAATAAGGACGAGCGACCGCCGTCCATGGGGGGCATGAGCCACGTGACCCCTGGTGAAATGTCAGGGCACTTTTAAGAGTTCATTCAGAGTGTGGAAAAATTTACACTGAAACGGCTAATGTCGGGGGGCACGTGAGGGTTAAGAAAGAGTGCTCAAAGCGGTGAGGGGAGCTAGCACAAGCAGACAAATGCCAACAGGTTGCTGTTGTTGTTGTTGCTGTTGTTGTTTGAGTAATTGAGGCTATAAATGCAATGCCCAGTCGGTAGAGAGGGTCCATGGATATGTATGACCTCCCTCTGCTCACCCAGCATGTGGGTGTCCGTCTGTCTGTCTGTCTGTGTACATAGCGTGTGCACCACACGTGTGTGTGTGTGTGTGTGTGTGTGTGTGTGTGTGTGTACACAGCGCGCTTATTTATAACACATTTGGAGTAACCTCATTTATACCTCACCTTAGTAACCACAGCAGAAGAAGTCTGACTACGACTTTGGCAAATGGAATGTTGCTGTTGGGTTTTGTCCATTAATGAATTGGAACTTGGCGCTTAGAAATTTATCCCGAATTGTTAATTTTTGTAGGACGGGTCAAAAAAGCTCGCAAAAGTTTATTTAAATTAAAGAAAACATTTTGGCGAACTTTCAGTGTTTATTTATTACTATATGACTCAAGAAAAAAAAATTCAATAATATAATAAGGTTATTTATTGTCAGCTGTTATTTATTTTTAATTGAAGAATTGGACTTAAGAACTATTAAGAACTATTATTATTATTATTATTATTATTATTATTATTATTATTATTAAGTATTATTATTAAGAACTATTAATATCCTTTCAGCTGTGCCTAATTTAGAGTATGTTCGCCCCACTGGCAAGTCGTTGGTAGGGAGAAACAAAAATGCAATTCCAGTAATGAATATTTTTGGATTTTTCTATGTATGTATTAAATAAGTGTAATAGTCTTTAAGGAATATTGAGATGTAATTCCTATTTCCATACTCTCGGATTGAACCCCATACATAGTACTTAAATCAAAATTTATTCAGTATTTATTTACCTTAAATTGCATTGCACTTAATTATATATATTTTTGTATTATATATTGTTTATACACTTAAAAATTATATTTAAAATATTGCATTTATTCTGACAAATTGAACAGCAGTTTAATCAGGCTCAGATATGCAAAAACATCATTGAGCATGCAGATTGTTAGTGTATGCAAATTTCCAATAACAACATGACAACACTGTCGCTTGCCAGTCGAAAGCTTTCGCCATGCCATGCCCACACCCATGCCATGCCCGACCGACACTACAGGTGTCTGTCCGCAAGAGAAACGAGCAACACCCCAAAGCAAGAGAGAGAGAGCGAGAGAGATAGAGCAAGCGAAAGCGGCAAGTGTGGTGAGTACAGCAATCGCCCGCCCACAGCAAACATCCTTGAAAACGCACTCGCTCTCTCCCCACCCCTGGGCCAAGCGATAGCAAATTGTGCGAGGACTGCCAAAGTGAAATCAAATCAAACTGATAACAGCCAGAAGTCCAGCCAGGCGGAGCAAGAGAGAGAGAGAGAGAGACAGCACAGGACACGAAGAACGCACTCGAGAGAGCGCGCCAAACGAATGAATTTCTCTCACAAAAAAGCACGAAACGAACTTGTCGTTGGGCTGCAGGCCGTGGATAACGGAACAGTTCGTGGCGGAGTTGCGAAAGCGTTGGTTGTGCGGTACTTAATCGGAGAACAACTTTGTCTTCCTTTAGCTCTCTGTGTGTGTGGGTGGGTGTCTGTGTGTGTTCTATCTAATGCGTGTGGGTGGAAGCCTCACTGTACTGTGTGCTTGTACTGCGTGCTTGTCCTGCGTTTTGTTCTAATGAAAAGCGAAAGTTCCGTGCGGGCGCCATCAGCAAATTTCAATTTCAATTAAAAACCATCATCCAATTAGCCTTGAAAAGATTCACATACAAAAAAAATAAAAACAGGCCCCAAAAACCAAACTCAAAATCAGAAGAACCCCAAAAGACTTTGGCGGTGCGGTGTTGAATAATCGCCGAGAAGAGCCGAGCAGAGCAGAGCAGGCTGCGCAGTTTGGCGCCGTGTGGGCGTCTGGCCCAAAAGTATAAGAAAATAAAAATGAAAAGACCTGTGAAAATAAAAGAAATACATAAATCCCACCTAGACAGAAGGCGGTGTGTCTGCCATAGCCTTAGAGCTTTATTTACAGGTTGTTGTTGCCCTTCGTCGATGCTAAGTGCTACGATGAAATTGTGCAGCCAGTTCAGTGGGGTATTTGGCGTTTATTGGAAGCTTTGAAAGGCGCTGGCTATGGCAAGCAGGATCGTGCTTTAGCTCTAGATCAATTTTAATTTATTTGCTCAGTATTTTATTTGTAAAGATTATGCACTAGATATTGCATATGTAAAAGAAATTATAGTGCAGCTTTATGGAGCTATATTTTTTCTTACTTTCCCAAAAACATTTAAAGCTATTTATCATACGAATTTTTCACTTAAATTTGCACTGAAACGCTTGCAACATTTCGCGTTAAATCTTTCCTTCCCGGCAGCCATTTCTTTGCTTTAACTTCTCTGTATTCATTTCTCATTTCCTGCTCGCTTTATTGCATCTTTATTTTCATCTTTATTTCATCTCTTCTGCACTTTTATTGCTTTAGTGGAAGTTTTCGTTTGCTTTATCGCATTTAAGACTTTTCATTTGCTTGGATTTTTTTTTGTCTGTGAATGGCCTTGTTGAAAATTCCTCGCTTACGACCGTGATTATAATTTAATTGCGTTTAAGCTAAGACTTTATTTTTAATAGTATTATGGCTGCTTTAACATTCTAAAATGTGAAATATGTTTATTTATGCCATTGTCCAATCTTTGATTACATTTTGCTCTTCAAAATAGATTGTTCAGAAATTACAAGGTTTCCTCTCTATGAGATAAGTGTTAAAAAAAATATTGTTACATTGCTTCTATTGCCACAATATTTCTTTATATTTTCCTTTCCATTAAATCTGCGCTCTTTTCAAAACATTCTTGCATTCTGTTTCTTATTGCTTTATCCGTGCATTCTGTTCCTTATCGCTTTTCTCTTTGCTTTAATTTCTTGCTCTAACTTTCCTTACTTTATCTTAGTTTGGTGTTTTTTCTTTGCTCCTTTTTTTAATAATCTTTGCTAACTGTTCTTATTTGAATAATCCAAAATACTTTTTGTTCCTTCTGTTACTCCTTACTCAATAATATTTCCTTTGTCTTGGTCTTAGCCTTGTGTTTCTTTTCCACCTTGGCTGGCTCCTGTTCAGGATTTTTCTTTTCTCCTTTTTAAGGGCATTAAAGATTCTTGGCATCCGTCAAAGGCAGCAACTTTCTACAGCTTCCAGCTCTTATGATTCTCTGGCTCTTTGAGCCTTCTCCTCCTCTCTTTTCCTCTCGATATGACTTGGCCCTGAAAATCAAAGTCCCCCGTGCGCCCTGTCAATGTCTTGGCCCCATCTGTGCGGATTTCTCTGGCATATGTACTTACATATGTACATACATATGTATGTTTGTATGTATATGTGGAAAAGTGTTGGTGTTCGTGTGTGTTGTTGCCTCTGGGGGGGGGGTTGGCGTGAAAAGTTTGTCTTCCGGTTTGAGTTGCGTGTATTTTGGGCGCCATTTTAACTTTCCGCTTTTATTTACTACAAATTGCTTTGCATTTCTGTTCCATTTGAACTGGCTTCTTCTGCTCCTCCTTTTGCTCTCTTCTTTTTTTTTTTTTTGTTTTTGTTTTTCTGCCTGCGTTTAATGTGCCGTTGGCAATTTGTTAAGAAATAAAATTCACCCCCACCACAGGAGCAGCAAATGAAATATTGTAATTAACTTGGCCGCCGGCGAGCAAACCGAACGGAAATTTTATACCATTAATGAGGCGGCAACAGGTCCAGCACCCAGCTACCCGCGCGCCGCCCTGCCATCCATTAAGTTTTTAATAAGCGACAGTTCACGGCTAATAAATATTCATAAATATTTGAGCTCAGCTCAGGCAATTTTCAAAAGTCCCCTGCCCGGCGCCCTTGCCACATTTCGCTGTATTTAAAAGTTTTTCTTTGCTCGAGCCGAAAGTTTGCCATCAACTTTCGTTGTCTTCGTTGTTTGGCCAGTGCACAAAAGTTGCAGTTCTATTCATTATTAACGTTAATATACGCCGAGCTGCACGGAGATAGCGCCACTGATGATTAGTTATGGGGGCAGGGCAAGTGCAGTGCCCAAAAGTTGCAAATTAATTGGCAAGTTTCCGACTTTCGAGTGCAGGCATCCTATATGCCATGCCAGTAGAATTATCCCCTAAGTTGTGCCCTACACACAGTTGCTCTCTGGCCATTAGAACTGATTTGCTTTTGGGCGGGGAGATTAGAGTCGAAAAAGCAAAGCCAAATAAACTTCACTTAACATTGCAATTACATTTGTTCTGGTAGAGAAATTTCCCATTGAAGATTATAAATAATAGCAATTTTCATTTTAATTAAAGCTGAATTCGAATTAGTTTAAGTTAAATTTCAAATATTTAGTAAAATTCGAACTAGTTTTAATTTAATTTCAAATATTTCAAATATTTAGAAAAAGTGGCGCAGCACTTTATGAAAACAATTTGGAGCATGCCATAAAATAAATACATATATTGATTCATTCATTTCATTTATCTATTCATGTTCACATGTCCTTCTGCTTTCTTCCTCCTTTTATGCGGATGTGCAGTTCATTCTATTGAAAAGCCTTTCGTACAATATAAATGGCGCTGATACATCAATTTATTTCCATTAAAAACCAATTATTCTCTGCCCTGCAACCCACAAAAGAAATACAATTTAGGAATATCTATACAATTTTCTGGCATTGTTTGACCATTTCATTGAACACTTTTTAATCCGACAAAGCTCTTTAATACACTCCACATTTAAACATTGAGCAGAATGGACAAAAAATCTTTCTGCTATCTAAACTAAAATCTCAACACTTAAATACTTATTTAAAAATGTCCCAAAAATATTTCCGCTTAAATTTATGAATATTTTTTTGGTAAATGGTAAGCCCAGAGCAAACGCAGAATAAACTCCAATGAACAGACACAGATAAAGTTGCCTTGAAATAAAGCCAATTTGCAAGATAACGAACACACACACACACAGCGGAAATATATATGAAATTTAATTTAAATATTTGTATACAAATTGAACCTAAAATAGAAGCAAGCGGATCCCAAAGCAAATTAAATAACGAGAGACAATCAAATAAAAGTTCAATAAAAAGTGAATGCGCAAGGAGATGATGAAGTGAAAATAAGAAAATCGGTGATAACTGAAACAGACACACACAAAAGGAGAAAGAGAAGCCAAAAGAAAACGCTGAAACAGAGCCTACACTTTGTGGCAAGCAACGAAAATTCCGAGTCATGATTTGAGTTTCGGGCAAAGGAGGTAAGTCAATGAAAATGTGTTAACTTTTTGTTCGTTTCAAGTGCTTTTTGTTTACAACATTTTATGAATCATTAAGAACATTTATCAAAGAAAAATATACAAAAAATCTATATAATATAATAATAATAATAATATATAATAATAATAATAATATATAATAATAATAATAATATTTAATAATAATAATAATATTTAATAATAATAATAATATATAAATATCGCGATAAATTAATTAAGTTATAAAATCCAATACATTTTTCCTTTTATATAATTATTGAATAATGAGCAAATAATAACAAATTTTATGAGCTAAAAATTGTATCTGATTACTGGCTACAAATTCAGTCAGCCTACTTTCCCTTAAATTTCTTAAAGCAACCACAAATTTGTGGCATATTCGCAAGAGAAAAAAAATATATATACACATCAAACCCAATTTTCATAATTCATTCAGCGGCTGGCTGCCAGGTCCCCAAAGTACAGAATAGATATTCCATTTCATCAAATGTATTAACAAAATGTTGCCCAGCCACAAACCCCTCAAGAGATTTTTATTTAGGTTTCGGCATAAAAGTATACATATACATACTTATGTATATAGTGTACATGGGGGGTACATATCCACATTATTATACATAATTGAATGCGTTAAATTATTTACTCGATGAATTTTTAGGGCTCGCCTTCTATCAGGGGAAAACTAGAGTGTAGCCGGAGCCTTTTTAAACGCTTGCGTGGCCTTTAAAGTTCGAAACATTTAATCAAATTAAACAGCTTTAAGGCCTGTCTCATGCCCGACTGGGGAGCCCAGTAAAGTATGCTACAAATCCTACCCATAAATATTGATGTATTTATACTTGGTGGGCCTGTTCATTCACCTTCTTTGTACACTTGAGACTAAACAGGAGAAAAGAAAATCCAGCTCGACGCCCCTGTCTACCCCGTGGTAAATATTCAGTGTTGTGACCCTGGAAAAGGCATTGAACCAGCCACGCAGCAAAAGAGATTCTATTTGCATACCAATACTCCGCTTAATCACCATAGCAACAATGATATATCAGTAATATTAATAAACACATACATATATGTAGAGGAGATTTCAGTCTATTATTTTGCTAGCATTTAATGCAATTTTCGGGCACTCTCTTGCTTCTTGTGTAATGCAATTTTTGGTGCACAATTGGTGCGTCAAATGTTGATTTCATTTCACCCAATTTATTTGGTTCTAATTGGCAAAATCCAATTTGTGCCACACACACGGACAGCTGATTCGTTTTTGGCCACGTAATGATTATTTGCCAACGAAAAATTAGCATAAAGTAATTTTCATTTTAATTGAATTAAATTCCATTAATTATGCCTGTCAGCAGATGACAGATCTGGCAAATTGTCCGTCCAAATAACTGGTAATATACGTACCCGTAATGGTGCGGTAGCGATGAGTCCAACTGTGACAAAGCATTGTAAAATTTCACACTTTAGCTGGAATTTAAATTTGATTTAAATTTGCCAGCGGGCTTGCTGCAAATTTGTGGCTATCGAATTTGGCAATAAGTCACGTAGCTTTATTTCGGTGCGTAATAATTCTACTACTATATTTTGGTTATTTCATTTGCCATGCGCCTGATCTTCAAATTAACAATAAAGAAAATTGAATATTGCATTTTTTTTATTTCCATTTCACTTTGTTATCTTTCTCTGCAGGCAATATTAAATCAATCAAATCCTTTACATTGGCTATAATTAAACAAAGTCCTGTCCTGTTTGTATGGATTAGCCATGTTGTGCCCTTCCATGCGCTTGCCCCCGCATCAATCAGAGCACTCGATGTCTGACAATAGGGGTTTAGGTTTACGAGTAGCAAAAGCAGGCAAGGCAGCGAGTAGATAAACACAGAGGCGGGTGGAATAATAGACATTACATAAGCCTACTTTGGATCGCTATGTGTTGGCATACTTATATGAGCGAGTGTGTGTGTGTGTGTGTGTGTTTGTGCCTCTAGTCTGCTTATGTTCTTAGGCCTTATTAGCTGCTTATTCATTTCCAGAGCCCCTGAGTTTGTTTATTTGTGCTTTTGCCTCCCCCTGCAGCATTTGTGGCACTTTCAGCAACGAGACAAATGAGCAGGCAGCGACAGCGACAGTGACAGCCAGACAATGACAATAAATATTAATGACCATCGAAACTAATAGATATTTAAATAAATGTAACGCCATGATGATGGTGTCATTAAATCGTTATTAAATTGCCATGACCAAGGACCATTCAACACGAAACACCACGCACAACTCCAACTCCATTTCCATCGATGTATGAAAGACATTTGGCCCTCGCCTATTGGTTTTTCTTTACTATGTGTCGAGTGTTTTGCGCCTAATGATCCATTTTGTAGGCGGCTTTATATTATTGCCCTCCGATTGGCCAATAAAAAAACAACAACAACTCAATTGGGTTTATGTTTTCAGTACTTAATGGAAATAATCGTAAGTTTTGGAGTGAAATTTCGGTCAGCTAATTGACGTATATAATTTATAATGCAATTAATCAAACAATCATATTAAAATATATCATTTAATTACAAGCAAAGATTAGGTGATTTAATAAGTTTCTATATGGTATGTACATAGGTAATAGGGAGTGAGCAGTCGCGTCGCACTGAAGATCCATTGGTTAACAGCAGTAACAGCAGCAGTAACAGTAGATGAACAGCAATAACAGCAGAGCAGCAGCGGTAACAGTAGATGAACAGCAATAACAGCAGAGCAGCAGCGGTAACAGTAGATGAACAGCAGTAACAGCAGAATGAGAAACAACAGCAGATAAGCAGATAAGCAGCAAAGGCAGAGAGGAAGACCACAGCAGAGAAGAAGATCAGCAGAAGAAGAGTAGAAAGAAATCGAAGCAGCCGGAACAGCAGCAGCAGAAAGCCCAATTAATCTTACAATTACCTGTGCACAGCGATTTAATATCTATAAAACTATATCTAAATAATAACATACATTATATGTACATTGCTATGTACATTCGTGTTAGTTCAGCCACGTTTCTACAGACGTTGTGCTCCAGGCAGATGTTTCAGAAAATAAACGTGACCTGTCAGCAAAAGTGTTCGTTTGAGAAAGGCAACTTTTTCTTCAAACAAAAAGTAACAAAAGGTTGAAATAAATGTATTTTGCGGACGTAATTATTGCTGATTCACTTGGGTTGTCTTTAAATTCCACATTTTAATTCGTTTTACCTCTGTCTGGTGTTGAGCAATTTTTATTCAAACCATTGATTGCATTCTAAAAATACGTCTCTTAGAGCCTTTTATAACTTTACCTTTTTCTCATCATTATTGAGCAAAAAACTATCTTGGAAAAAAAAGTTGCATTTAAATTTCATTCACGCTTTGCTTAAAAAGTTGAGAAAACCAGCTGCAGTTGGGACTGCAAATTAGAGATGCCGAAAAATAAATATAAAAAAAATACCTAAAAGCAGAGCAAACTAAGCCACAGCTAATGAATAATCCGCGTTGCTCTGCATTTTAACTTTTCTCATTACTCAAATCTATATGTATTTGTATTGTATGCGTATATATATATCTGCATACAAATCGCTATATACTCGTAGGGCGCAGAGAACTAAATAACCGAAAAACTGAACAAAAATGGTTGTGCCCCGAAAATCTGTGAGAAAAGGCAAGGGGGCGTGCCAGATTCGGGCAGATTCATTTGCATCTACCACAGGGTCCGATGGGCGTGGCTCAGTGCTCTCTGCCACTGCCTCTGCCTTTGTGCGAAAGTCAAACGGCAAAGAGCTGCGCTGCAAAGCAAACAGCAACAAATTTGTGCTTTCATTTAAATTTTAGCTTGTCTTTTTTTTTTTTTTCCTAGGGATGCAAAATATGAAGCACAAAATACTTTAAAAAGTTTCAAGAAGCGCCAGAAACGTTCCAATAGCTGCTGCTGTGGTGGCTGCACTTAATGGTCGGAAAAGTGTGTGAAAAAATGGCCAAGGCAAAGAACTTTCAGTGGGTTGAGTGCGAGAAATACTCGGAAATGCTCAAAGAGAGAGATTAAATAAATGGATAAATAAATGGGGCATTAAAAAAGTGATACATATACGAGGACACATTAGGATTAACCTAAAAAAAAGGAGAATAAATGAGGGAATGCGTTCAGCTAGAGTTACATTTGATGCACAAATTTATAAATTTACTTGACACTGATCCCATATATGCCATGTCCATGTCCCAACTCTCTGCCCCATAACTAAGTTCAAACAACCACAAAAACCCACTTGAAGCGCATTTCACGAGCGATGGATGCACTTGAGAGTTATTGCCCGCGCTGCAGAGCTTCAAAGTGTCACCATCAAGTGCAGTCATAAAGTTTTATAACCGCACACACACACACACAGTCGCCCTGCAACCTTGCAACTCCAGAATTACTATAATTATTGCTAAACCATCAAAGGCACAATTAACCACAGTTGTTGTAATGTCAGAGCACTTGTTTGACATTTAATTACACTAATTTATATGCAGACTGCAATTGACACGGCGGCGACAGCCGTCCATTGGTGGCGACGATGCTGTCGCTCTCTGCCCCCCTTTCTCGTTTGGTTTTCATCTTGTGCACTACATCATGTGTGTGTGTGACATATGGAACGTTTGGTTGGGGCAGATGGAATTTCGTCATGGATTAGTTCCCGACAGCTACAAATTATATAATTTGAATGCAACTTATTTAATTATATTATATTATTATATTATATTTATATAATTATATTATATTTATATTTATAAATATTTATATTATTTAATATATATATATATTTAATTTATAAAAGTATATTTAATATATTAAATTTAAATATATTAAATATATTGCTGCCCCGACATTCTCCGAATATCTGAAAGCTATGAGTAATAATTATGATCTTGAATGCCTACAAAATCTGACACAATTTTTCCTCTAACAGGACAGCTCCAACTCCATTTTGCAGATTCCAAAAGA